GTACAAGAATGGAAACTTACAAAAAAGATAAATCAGATTATGAGCCTTCGTTTTACAAAAGAATTCCTGAAATCATAGATAACCTCAGAAATTGTCTTTTTGAAACCTCTCGTTTTTCTAGATGTTCAAAATGTGGACCAGAGAGTTTGAGTGATGAGCTCAAGGAGACATGCTGTTAATGGCAAAGTCAGATCTGGAACACAGCTGTCTCGATTTCTGGTGTATTTTGGTTCTCTTGGCAAAAATAGCACCTCTGTGTCTTCTCTATCCAGTTTCATGCCTTCTTCATCTCTGTTCAAGTTTCATGTGGCCTGGGTGTTGGTGACTGTGGGAAACTTGCCTTACAGAAGGAAGACCAATCTATCACCTTGAGTTTCATTGACGAAAGCTAGAAAATCATGCCAAATGAGCGTCTTTTCTCAGTACTCAGTCCTCTGACCCTCTGTGACTGTCATCCTAGCCTTTTAATCTCTGGAAATATAATTTATTTTTAGCCTCAAACTAAATGATGAGTTTCTGGTGCTAGGCTCAATGTAGAATCCCACTTTTGCTTTCTTTCACAGAAGTAAGGATGCATACTCAACCTCTGATCATCTTGAGAAATCTGTGTCAAATGCAGTGTTTTTCTTGTGTGTCCTGTGGCGAGACCACTGGTCATTCATTACCTGTTCAGTTTGTGGGAGGTGGGGCCAGGCCATAAAGTCAAGTAAAAAAGAGGAAGAACCTTCATGTAAAAGGGTTAGCTTTTCGTTGTGTATCATTGGGGATGTCCTAGCTATTTAAAAAAAAAAAAAAAAAAAGACATAGAACCTGAAATAAGTGAAGCCCTTTATAACAGAGTTTGCCCTACCCTGATAACATACTTACTATATTTGCTTTTCCCAGAAATCTGCTTATCATTAACACCAGCCCTGATTAAAGATTTAGAAAAATTTTTACATATGTGATTTCCGTAGTATTGGGGCTAGGTACACGATAAGCTTTGAGGTTAGGCTGAGCTGCGTCTTTGGAAGGCACAGTATGTAAATAAGGAGGGACCGACTGGTAGATGAGGCAGCGGAATCTGACACACTGAGACTGATGGGGGAGGGCTGTCTGCAGAATGACCAGACTTTTTCAGGAAGTCACAGAAGAGCCAGGTGACTCGGAAAAATGAAAGTTAATCCAGAGCCTTGCTGCTCAGAGTGTGGACCTAGGAGCTTGTTAATCACGGGGCTCGCCCAGACCTACTGAGTCGAGACTTGTATGCACGTTAAAGTTGGTGACGCACTGGTCTGGGTTTTGTACTCAGCTTTTCCCTTTACTATCAACAGAACGGATCATATCATTCATTTGCATAAATCTTCAGTTTTCTCTTCAGTCTTGGGATGATGGCCAAAATCCTGGGCATGGTTTTCTAGGCCCTGCAGGGTCATCCTGTCTCTGGCATCCTGCTTGTTGCCGACTGCCTTCTGGCAGCCAGTGTTCCTGCCCCGGCTCTTTTCCAGAGTCTTCTCTTCTTCTCATGGCCTCAGGATGCCTTCCTTCACCTGAGTGTAGGTTGGGGCTGTTTCCTGCCCTCAAAGTACCTTCTGTATTAGTTTCAGGGGCTTAAACAGCAGAAATTTATTCTTTCACGGTTCTGGAGGCTAGAAGTCCAAAATTGAAGCGTTTGTAGGGCTCTTCTTCTCTGAAGCCTCTACAGGAGGGTCATTCTATCTCTCTTCAGCTTCTGGTGGCTCCAGGCACTCCTTGGCTTGTGGCAGCATCACTCCCGTCTCTGCTTCTGTCTGCACATGGCCGTCTTCCCATGTCTGTGTCTTCACATGACGCTCCCTCTGTGTGGGGCTATGTCCAAATTTCCCTCTTCTTATAAGAACATTAGGATCCCGGGAGCCTCTAGTCGCAACATTTTCGTCAGTCAATACATAATCTTGTTTCATGTGTGTTTCTGTTTAAAGACTCTTTATCCGATATAAACTGTTAATTCATTCACATTGAACTCACACTGCCTACCTCACTGTAACTCAGACCTGAACGAAGCTTATCTAACACACGGATTTTCTTTGTAAGGCGCATCACAGCCTCCTTGGGCTTTGAAATGCTAGACTGCACTTCAGAGAGACCACTCTTGGGGACCATTTTAAACAGCAAGATCACCAATGGGAAGCGCAAAAATGTGAAAAATTTTGCACTAAATAGACCATAAATAGGACACTTGTTTACAGTGTGAGAGCTGAAATAAGAAGGCAGAATGTCTCGTTGTTCAACCTCAGCTGGGAATGTGTACATTGGACCACTCAGAGTTTTCACCTCTCTCTGTGTCTGCGAATGAGCCATGAAAGCATGCTGAGGATGCACCTGAGTGTCACAGATACATTTGAGCAAGTAGGTGATTTTACAAATAGGGAACCCACAAATAATGAGGGTTGACTCTTATCTCCCCATGGAAGCTTTAAAGACAGAAAGCTTCCTGAAACATTTCAGGTGACCATTTTTTTGAACTGGGTCATTTGTGAAAAAAATATGAGAAGAAATATCATATTATTATAGTGACAAATTGGGAGTGGGGCCGTTTACTCATCCCTGTTGTTTTTTCCTTGTTAAGTTTAGGCAGAGCAGCAATGGTAGTGACCCGTAGCAGTTCTGCCTGTCATGTTGTCCCTGGAGAAGAACTCGTGACTATGTGGCTACTCCTCCTTCCACCCCTCCCTCTACTTTCTTTACTGCCCTGGACTTAGCTGTCCTCTTTCTGCACCTTGAGATCTTCCTGAGAGGGAGGATCTGACCGGGTTGGTGATCGCTACCCCGTTGGGTAGAGCCCTCACCGTGGCCAGTCACCCAGTGGGGTCTTCTGTGGACAGCTTTCCCTAGCGCTCCCAGAACTCTTCTGTCACTCCTTATCATTCTGTACACAGAACTCTTCATGTCTTAATTCTCTTCCTCCCTGTCCCCTGTTAGACTAGAAGCTTCTTGATGGTGGGGAATGTCTTATCTTTTCCTGTTCCTGGAATATCGTTCTCAATAAATGATCTTTGAACGGGTGGATGAATGAATGAGTGAGTGGAACGACTTGAGAACCACTAAGAGAAGCCCTACTGGGGGCTCCCTGTGGCTGTTCCATGTCCTTTTGGACTGTCCTTGAGGGTTCTCATTACTCATCCCAAAGAATGGTGTCCTGAAGCCACCAGATGAGTGGACGGAGCCAACTTGCAGTAGTCACCCACCTTGGCTGATCTTCAGAACTGGCCTAGTTCTTGTGTTGACCATCTCTTGGGTGGAGGGCAGCATTTGGGCTTTGTAGGATTATGAAAAGACCTATAAGAGGTAGAGTTCCCACTCTCAAAGCACTTAGCTTTGTGTGTTAGGAAGAGAGGATGTACACAGCTGAAAAGTTCATAGTTAAGGTAAGAGTTAGATAAGAATAAAGACAATGTATAACAGTTGCCCAAAGGCAGTGTTTGCTTTTCAAATGAGCAGGATAAGATCAGTGAGTATTGTGGGAGTCAGAGGAGGAGGATTCCTTCAGGCTGGAGTGGTCTGGGAAGGCCTTGTGGAGAAGGAGGGTGGAGGCTGGGTCTTGGAAGATGGGTAGGGATTGGCAAGGCCCCGGGAAAGAGAAGCAGAGGGCATGGTATGAGCAAGGAGCAGGAGGCGTCTGCAATAGTGAGTGGATCAGAACTGGGCGAGATGTACAAGGGAAAGGCAGGTCCCAGAATTTAGTTCCAGAATTTAATTAGGCTCTACAGGCAAAGGGTGCTGCCCTAGCTGGTTCATGTAATGATGCTTGCACTCTGGCATGAGCTGGGGGGAGGGCATAGAGGAGAGAGGAAGTCCTTTGCGAGCTGGAAGAGAGAGTTATTGAGACTTCGATCATCTCAGCCCAAATTCATCTGAATAGAATTTTCAGAGTTCATTTTTTGGGGAGGAGATGAGTGAAATAAAGAAGAGACAGCTAGGGGTTGAAAAGAGGATTATGTCACACTGTCCATGAAGTCCTATGGAATGGAAGCTTGAATTGGCATAATCTTGGCTTTTGAATCCCACATTAAATTTAAATTTACGTGTAAATAGGATGAAGATGAGTGGTAGACAGAGCTCTGTTAGTGCTTCCACTCTGCATATACTTAGGTGGACAAGGGAAAGACCACCTGGAAAGGTTTCAGAAGGAGGGGAGAGAGGCATTGTGTGTGCTGGTAGATGAAAGGTGTTTAGAGCATGAAACGATTTTCAGAGGGAAAGTAAGTTACAGGCAGAGGGAGGATGATGTGAGGTCAGAGGGGGAGGGTGGCAGGGAAGAAGGATCCTTGAGGGAGTGAAGAGAATGCATTAACATAAAAGCAAAGCTAAAACCAGAGCAAGATGCTGCTGCGTTCTGAAGGAGACAGAACGTCAGGAGGGAACGACTCGTTGGTGAAGGACCTTGGAACCAAGTGAACTGATTCCTTTAGAGCTTTCAAGTGCCAATATTGGGGGTTGAAAGCACTTCTATAACCCAGATACCCAAAGGGATTGAGATGGTTCTGGTAACTCTTTCCCACAACGGTTTTGCTCTGTCCACCTTGGCTCTTGGAAGGATAATACCCAAAGGTATTTGTAAAATACTGGTCCTGTGAATGCCTGGTACATTGAAGGTGTCTGCTGTAAACACAGCCAGGTTAGGAGAGGGTAAGACCAAGCGTTAGGCAAGGTGACCCGGAGGTGTCTGGGCCCTCTGGCTAGACGAGTTTCTGTGTGTCCAGGCCTCCTGCGTCCATGAGACCCTCTTAGCTGAGAGCAGGCTTGGCCTGTACCAATGCCCCACCAAGACAGCCTCTCAGGATGAGCAGAGTGCTCAAGAGGGGGCAGGTGGCTCTAGGGCAAAGGCCCTCAGTACGCTGCCTTACCTCCCCAATCCTTAGCTCTGGGGTTTGGGGGACAGGGATAAAAGAAGAGGCTGGGGCTGGGGTGCACAACTTTATAGTGCAGACATGACAGTCAGCAGCACAAATGCCTCATGTTGTGTTTCTCTTCTGCAAAAGGGTACCATGCCGGTGGAAAGGATGCGGATGCGGCCATGGCTGGAGGAACAGATAAACTCAAATACGATACCAGGGCTAAAGTGGCTTAACAAGGTAAGTGCATTGGGTGCCTGTGTGTGTGTATGTGTGTGTGTGTGAGAGAAAGAAAGAGAGAGAGAGAGACAGAGCACGAGATTGAGAGATCCTTACTAAAAACACATGCATGTGGACCCCCAAAAGTAAAATTGTTCTTTGTGTCCAAAATCTTATGCTTATTAATTATAAAACTCAACTGACCAAAAATGATCATAAAAATGTCAAGTTATCATATAAAGAAGGCTTTTATCATCTTCTCAGACTGGAGCCTCACCCCCGAGTTGACGCTCTCAGTTCACCTTTGGTATTGGCGTGACTGTTGATGGGGAGCTTCTCGCTGTTTTTCTTGAATGAGTCCTCCCTCTTCCAGCTCTGACACCTTCCTTGCTTCTCCTGGCTTTCTCGGATTAGAGGACTTGAAACTCTAGGGCTTTCTGTTGAGAATGGAGCATATTGATTTTCTTTTCAGTATTCTCTATGTTAAGGAAACTTTTGTTTTCGTCTTTAAAAAATGCCTTCTCTTTATCTTTATTGTGGAACCCTGTTTGTGTGCCTACTCCTCCTAAAAGAGAAGAATCTATCATTTACAAACAGCCCCCTCCTGCCCCCATCTGTACGTAAATGCTCTCTTACTTTATCAACCCCTAAACTCTCAATTTAATCAATCTTGCCTGTTAGGGGTGAATCAGGAAGATAGTGTCTATAAAAATAAAGAGCCCCTGAAATAGATAGTTATAATCTAGGAAAGCAACTAAATATAATATATCATGCTTTCTTTAAGAGGACCCAAGAGAGAGCTTCCTCTCCCACTGCCAGGAATATTGCAATTCTTCTGAGCAAATTTCTTTTTCCTCTTCTACCCCCTCCCTCATTTTCAGTCTTAAGGACACGATGAATAATTTAGCGGGTCAGGCTTTATCTTTGTATCACGTTCTTGAGAGTTTAGTGCCAGATTGTGGCCCGCTTCTAACAAGTGTACAGAATATTGCAGCATTATTTTTTTTATATTATATATCACTCCTGGCTTCATTTTATCTTTTCAGATATCTCTCAATTCTTACTTATTTTTGTTCTTTTTCCTTCATCCACTTATTTTTAAATTAATGGTATTTTATTTGAATGTGTCTGTTTAAGTGATTCCTTTCTGAAACAAAGTGGGGTGTGAAGTAAATAGAAATAAATAAACCGTATGCTCGTTTCGTGTGACTTGTCGTGTATCTTAAGGTCTTATAGCAAACAATGTTTTTTTCTAGGCTTGCTATATCTACAGTATTTTGGATTTGTATCCTGAGGGGGCTTTGTAATTAACCTCTTCCAAAGAAATAAACAAGAAATCAGGTTGCACCTTTGCCTGCTGGGCTTCCAGGGACACATGTGGAGATTTAAGAAAGGGGAGATGATAGTCAAGGAGAGTTGACAACACATAGGGTACTCGATAACAATGATAATCATCATAATAAAACTAACATATATTAAGAGCCAGGTACTCCTCTAAGCAAGATACATGCATTAACTCACACAATCCCCCCATGGGGTAGATACTCTTATTTTTTCCATTTTACAAACGAGGAAACCGAGGCACAGAAAAGTTAAGTAGGATTATATTTTGAAGAACAAGATAACATTGCCTATATTGATTTAGAGTGTGAAATTAAAGCAGGTGTTCCTGAATTCTGAAGAGAAGTAAGTTGTTTGCTTTTTCCTTTCCTTTTTTAAAAAACGCATCTACCCTTTTCGGCTGGCTTGATGCTGGGGCAAACTTAGAATGTCATCGTGTCTCCTGTTCCCAGCAGACGCTTGACATTGCTGCAGTCCGTTGTCCTCTCTAGTGGGTTGAACTGTGGTCACCCAAAAGATACGTCCACGTGGTAAGCCCCGGTACCTGTAGGTGTGACCTTATTTGGAAAAGGGGTCTTGGCAGGTGTAATTAAGTTAAGGATCTCAAGATGAGATCATCCTAGATTATCCAGCTGGGCCAAGCCAATGACAAGTGTCCTTATAAGAGACAGAGGAAAAGAGACACACACAGAGGAGGAGGCCATGAGAAGGAGAAGGCAGAGATTGGATGCTGCTGCTGTAAGCCACACAGAATGGCTGGAATACCAGTAGCTGGAAGAGGCAAGGAAGATTCTCCTTAGAGCCTTTGCAGGGAACACAGCCCTGCTGATTTTGGATTTCTGGCCTCCAGAACTGGGATAGAAGAAATTTCTGTGGTTGTATGCTGCCCAGTCTGCGGCAATTTGTCATAATAGCCCTGGGAAACTAATGTACCCTCTTAGGGTTGTTTCCTTACTGCGACTCTCCATTGAGACACCTTTCTTCCATCCACTCTCTCCATGTTTTTCTGAAAGTAAATGGATTCCTCTTTGTGCAGCTGAAAACTTAGCTCGTCTCAGGTGGCCCTTACTACTGAACTTCACTCAACTGGCTCTTGGCTCATGAGTTCTCTTCCATAGCAGAGAGGGCAAGGAGACCCTTCCGCCATCTTGTCTGGCTCCTCTCCTAGCACTGGGCATGAGCCAGGCTAAAGGAAAGAGAACGTGCATGTGGCTGCAGAAAATGGTGCCTCTCAGGACAACACTGGCACAGGAGTCCGTGGCTGCCTGAGGGGCCTGGTCAAGCAGGCCTCTGACTGGGGCTATCCAGAGTGGGCATGTGGCTGTGTTTGTGATGTGGGCAGTGCTGTTACTGTCACTGGAGACCTCAGATGGGGTCGGGACCTTTTCTCTCCATACCTATACCCCTACAGGGCATCTTTTTAGAGGTTTCTGCTAAATCGGGCCTAGTGGCATTCATCTGTTCATGTATATACTTAACTGAGACTCTAATATTATTTCCTTCCCGTTCATAAGCATTTTGCCTAAGAATCCTTGTTGGTATTTTGGGTGGTTTGAGATCATTCTAGAATCTCTTCTCCCGCTGAAGACTGTTGTAACTCCTAGAAAATGGGAACCATCCATGTGGTTTTGCCTTATGCCTTAGTTGTGTTCAGGATGTGTTGGTATTTAGGGTGAAGTGCTCCAGACTGGAAGCCCTCTGAGGGCAGGTGCCATGGTGTCTTGATGGTTACTGCACACTCGGTGCCAGGCCTGTTGCCTGACACTTACAAGATACTCGGTTAATATTGTTCTGTGAATAAATGGGTGAATGATGCATACTTGAAGAGGAGCAGCATTGGCAGCTGTGTTTTTGTTCTGTTAAGACTTATGAACACTGAGTTGGCAGTTGTGATATATCTCATCAAAGGGATGGTGCATCAAACCCGGTCCCTTCTTAGTAAGAGACAAATAGGTGGTTAATTAATGCCTTAAATATATTTCCATCTCCTATTTTGAGTAAATTTGGAGGAGAGTGGTGATGAAATGGGTCCTTTGGATTCCTCTGAAGGGGCAGTGAGGAAGTCTGGCAAAGCAGCATTATAACCAGCTCATGAATGGGGCCTTGGCCTGGGCCAGTTACTTTATGAGTATTTGCAAACATACATAGTGTGTTAGAATAGCCTAATGACTAGAAAGAATAGTACAGCAAATTTCCATCTAGATTTAAAATCCACATCTAGATTTAACAGTTGTTAACATCTTTTTAAGTCCATACGTGTGTGTGTGGTATTTTAAAGCAACTCCCTAACAGTGTACATCTCTAAGACTTAAGAACATTTTGTTATATATTCACAATATTGTTATCAATTGGAAAAAAATCATAATTTGTCAATATCACTGTGCCATTCACAATCAAAATGCTGCGAGTGTTCCCCAAATATCTTTTTACAGTTGATGTGTTCACTCAGCATCCAGAGAGGGTGCACAGGTTGGCTTGCTTCTTCTGACTTGACGTCTCTCCTGATTGTGAACAGAAGCCCTTCCTTTTTTTTCCTTCTTGCCACTGACTTGCTGAAGAAACCAGGTCAGTTCTGGACCTGTCCACGTGCTTGCTTGTGGTTTCCCTGGGCCATTTCTTGAAGAAGGGAGCCACATCCGGGTTCATCGTTTCTCTTGGAGCTCCGATTGATTCCCACTCTGTTTATTGATGTTCTTATTTCACGTTGGAGACCTGCCTGGACCCAGTTGCCAAGGCCATTCCTTGAGCACAGGAGATCATCAGGTAGTTCCAGACCTTTACTTTCTCTTCACTTTGAAAGCAAGCTTGTGCTTGTGTAAATGTCAAGCCATCTCGGAACAGAGTAAGGAGCCCAAACAAAAATAACAAAATTGAATTGGAACATCTTATAAATATTGGGAGAGAGAAAGAGGCAGAGGGAGAGAAGAGAGATGCTCAAGATAAGCTTCAGTGTTCCTCTCAACCTGAGCAAAGCTTACCTTTCCTGCCCTGAGAGGGGCTGAGTTCTATATATATATGTACACATGAGTGGACTCTGGTACATGCGGCCCTTCCATACACGATGTGTAGAGCCACTGCGTGTGTGGACTGGGCACTCAGGGCTTCTGATGGCGCATGCAGATGTCACAGAGTCTACTCAGACACAGAACAACACCATCAACGTCCCATAGAACTCAATGATCTATGACCAGAATGTTTACTGGTCAGAATGTCTTTCAATTTTAAAATGAATTTCATCTTCTTTACCTTTCATCATGGTCTTTTTAAAAAAGATATGTGATGCATTTATTTGTATTTCTTTCTTTCTTTCTTTTTTTTTTGAGGAAGATTAGCCCTGAGCTAACGTCTGCTGCCAATCCTCCTCTTTTTTGCTGAGGAAAACTGGCCCTGAGCTAACATCCATGCCCATCTTCCTCTACTTTATATGTGGGACGCCTGCCACAGCTTGGCTTGATGAGCAGTGCGTAGGGCCACACCTGGATCCGAGCCGGTGAACACTAGCCGCCGAAGCAGAATGTGCGACGTTAACTGCTGCGCTGCCAGGCTGGCCCCCTGTATTTCCTGTTTTTTTTTTGCAATATGAAAAACTAGTTAAAAGTTACATGTAGCTTTTTTTTTCAATTTACCATTTTACCATTTTAAAGTGTACAATTCAGTGGCATTAAGTACATTCACAATATTATGCAACCATCACCATTATCTAATTCCAAATTTTTTCATCACCTCAAAAGGAAACACTTGCCCATGGAGCAGCCACTCCCTTTTTCCTCTACCCCTCGTTCATGGCAACCACTAACCTGCTTGCTGTCTCTATGAATTTGCCTTTTCTGGATATTTCATATAAATGGAATTATTCAACATGTGGCCTTTTGTGTAAGGCCTCTTTCACTTAACATAATGTTTTCAAGCTTCATCCGTGTTGTAGCACATACGGCATTCCTTTTTGTAGCTGAATAATACTCCATTTTATGCATATACAACATTTTCTTTATCCATTCATCAATTGATGGACATTTGGGTTCTAACTTTTGGCTCTTGTGAGTAGTGTTGCTATGAGTATTCACGTACAACTATTTGTTTGAATACCTGTTTGTAATTCTTTGGGTACATATCCAGGAGTGAAATTACTGGACCGTGTGGGAATTCTGTGTTTAACTTTTTGAGGAACGGCCAAACTGTTTTCCACAGCAGCTACGCCATTTTGCATTCCCACCAGCAATGTGTGAGGGTTCCAGTTTCTCCACATCTTTACCAACACTTATTATTTTCTATTTTTATTTTTTTATTTTAGCCATCCTAGTGGGTCTGAAATGGTATCTCATTGTTGGTTTGATTTGCGTTTCCCTAATGGTTAGTGATATCGAGCATCTTTTCATGTGCTATTGACCATTTAGTTATCTTCTTTGGAGAAAGGTCTATTCAGGTCCTTTGCCTGTTTCAAGAGGATCCACAGTGCAAAATTGCTGGATTCAGTCATTATGCTTGTGGTTTCATGATTTTGGCATGGTTTCTGTGAGACCAGGTTTGGTAGTGTGTGTGTGTGTGTGTATGTGTGTGTGTGTGTGTGGGTGGGTGGGGGGTGGGTGGTTGGGAACGCGTGCGCACACGTGCATGTGTGCTCTTGCAAATGCTTGAAAAGACCTTCTTATCAGAATCAACTTTATGTCTTGTGAGATAGATTTCAGATTGTGACACCCCAAACTCCTTTGACCTAGAAATAAGTACAATAGCAAATTATTGAAAGATCTGTATCTTTAAGCATAAACCTTTAGATTCTGCCTGTGCACTTCAGGAAAAGTTCTTTCAGCGGAATAAATTCATTTTCATGTGAACATCAAAAACTGCATTAAGTGCTTTTGCTCTCTGATTTTCATCTGCATTAAAAAATAAAATTTTACTCAGTCCCTTTGTGATGACTGCCGTTTTGAAAATGACTCACCTGAAACCATGCGCTCTCGGTGGATGATGCAGAAGGAACGAGGAGGGGTTTGTGAAAGTCTCTTGCTTTCAGTTCTTCTTAGTTAACTGAGTTTTAAATGCAGTAGAATTTTCCCATTAACAGTTTTTTGGGGAACTCTCAAATGCTCTGAAATATTTTTAGTTCAGGCTTTTTAATTGGTTCTGTAGAGAGGCACGGAGCCCCCTTTTGGGTCAATTGGGACCGTTTATATGTTTCATTGTGTAAGACCAAAGTGGTGAAAAATCCCTACTGGCATTTTCTTTCCTTCCCCAGTGTATTGTGCAGGGACCCTATACCTGGAAATTATCAGAACTACCTTGAGAGTTTCCTGGCCTTTAATCTCCACAGAATCCAGGTCAACAGACCTGTCGTAGGATGGCAAAACCTCTAAATCGACACGCTAGGGGACAATGTGTGGTGTGATTAAGTGATTGAATATGGGATCACATGACCACGGTTTTGAATTTAGGCGCTTATTACCATAAATTCCTTGGCTAAATAATTTAATTTTGTGTCTCAGTTTCCTCCACTGTAAAGCGGAAATAATGACATATCCGTAACTCATTAGGTTGTTGCAAAAAACAAAACTGAGACCATGTGAACATGTGTAGTCAAATATAAAATGCCACGGGAGCGTAGCAACTGCTGGCGTTGCCAGGAGAGCTGGTCGAACCAGGTTTCACATATGTAGTTTTACTATGAGTGTGATTTTGTTTCCAAAGCACTAGTTTCCGATCATGCGTTTGCCAGGGTCGATTTAAGCAATTTTGAGTTACCTCCTGGGCTGTAAGAGAGATGGAAAGTCTGGTATAAGAAGAATTGTATTGAGGGACTTTTCTCCAAAAAAGGAGTATTATTTCCATGTACTCAATACATCTTTGTTTGTACTTCTTGCTATTCAGGGCGGTAGACACATAGGAGTTAGAGCGTTAGACAGAATCTTCTATTTCTGTTGGCTACACAAGCAGATTGAGATATTTGGTCTCTGTGGCAGTGGCCTCAGATACCCCCTGATGTCCCTTTAGCAGCACAAATGGATGTTACTTTGGAAAGTTGCCTAATTTTTGATTTACTGGAGGCAGCTGGAGTTCCTCTTTACCAAATGATGGAAATAAGCGATAAGACTAAGCATTAGAAGTTTCAGTAAGTGGCCAGTTATCTGGGGTCCTAGAACAGAGAAGTGACATAGATAACAGAACACGTTGCCATATCCCAAATCATCAGCTTTGACCTTGGAATGTATTCCTCTTGTCCAGACTCCGCACGACACTGAATCTTACCTGGGTAGACTGTAGGATTTGGGGCCCAGGGGGGAAGTGGGTTTGGTTTACAATAGATTTTACTGTAGACACTCAACAAACCCAGTGATACTCGGTGGGGAATCTTACCAGCTAGAACTTAAGAACCCTCCACAATGGTGGCCTGACACCCATGGCTGCAGTTCTTATTTACTTTTTTTTTTTTCCAGGAGAAGAAGATTTTTCAGATCCCCTGGATGCATGCAGCTAGACATGGGTGGGATGTGGAGAAGGATGCCCCACTCTTTAGAAACTGGGCAATCCATACAGGTATTGAAACCCTTGTGTTGATTGTCGAGGCAGGTACTATTGGTTTTTGTTGTTGTTTTCATTCCTTCTTTTTTTAAATTGAGGTGGAATTGACAAATAAACTTGTAAGATATTTAAAGCGTATAACATGATGATCTGATGAACGTAAACCTGGATCCCGCCCCCCACATTGAGTTAATTCACAAGTCCGTCACCTCACATATTCTCTTTTTGTTTGGTGAGAAGATTTAAATTGTACTCTCTTAGGAAATTTCAATTATGTAATACCCTGTTAACTATTGTTTATTTTTGTTTTCACTACATATATAAAATCTCCTGGCTTATGCCCTTGTGAAGATAGCTTTGAAAAACCTGTGACTTGTCCCCAGGCACATCCAGGACACGTGGGGTACACACTTCATCACTCAGAAGAGATGCTCCACCTATGCCACAGAAACTTAGTCCTTAAATTTCCTGCAGATGTGGTATTCTGATTAAGTTTCCCATGTGTGTACCAGGGGAATATAGAATTTATTTGTTCTGGAGCTATAAATTTGGGTTGAATTTATCTCCTCAAAAGGTAGTCAATAATATATTTATTGAGAACAGAAGGTAAATAGGGAGCTATTTACAGCAATGGACTTTTTACTGAATATTTGAGAGTCAGACAAAAAAGAGAGACTTGAGTCACCTGTGCCTGTCAGCCTCCCGGTCTCCTGGGCTTCTCTGTTACTTAACACTGATTCTCCATTCTTCTACCATGATTAGTTTTCTCTCAAGATGTTTGGTAGAGCCAGAGTGACCAGCCTGCCCCAGTTTTCCCAGGACTGTCCAGGTTTTAAAACAAAAATTCTCACATCTCCAAAACCTTCTCAGTCCCAGGAAGCCAGGACGCTTGGTCCCTGCAGGTGTAGCCTGGAATTCGGAAAGGGTTCTTGGCACCCCCTGGCCAGCAATCCTGTGTTTCCAGACATGTATACCCAGTATCGAGTGTTTTTCCCTCTTTTCCCTAACCTTAATTCTTTTGGCTATTTTTATTAGGAAAGCATCAACCGGGAGTAGATAAACCTGACCCAAAAACATGGAAGGCGAATTTTCGATGTGCCATGAACTCCTTGCCTGATATTGAAGAAGTCAAGGACAGAAGTATAAAGAAGGGAAACAATGCCTTCAGGGTGTACCGGATGCTGCCCTTATCTGAGCGACCTTCTAAGAAAGGTAGACCAAGATGTTTACTGACTAAACTGTGCTCACTCGGTATATACTACAGTGCCTTTCCCATTTCTTTATTTCCACATCTGTAGTCACACCAAGGATAGAACATCTGCTCACACTGTGGATGATCATTCTGCTTTACCTGGCTGGGGAAAATGAATCTCAGGTCCCCAAAGGCATTAGAAGAAGCATTTGGAGTTTTGACCACATACAGATTAAAGCAACAGGTTCATTGAGATTTTCAGAAAAAATGTAACGTAGGGAAACTGTTTCTCTGTATGGTCCTCATGAATTAATCCAGAACTATTTTTTCTTGCCACAGGAAAGAAACCAAAGACAGAAAAAGAAGACAGAGTTAAGCACATCAAGGTAATCTTTGGTTGTTCAGAGAGAAAGCCAGAGTTTTGACCATATTAATGATTCATATTCTGTCTCGTAAAAACAAGTAATGTGAGCTGTGCGAAGTATTTAATCTTTCTTCTTCTGCTATTGTGTTTTATGTGCTTTACATGTCTCCTCTTTGGCATGTACCCGCTTGCAGACTCAAGTACACATAGCCCCTGCTTCATCCAATTTCACTGAGCAATTTATGAATGAAGTCACAAGTTCACACCGAGCTTGACAGTCTCAGGCCTCCATCTGGTCCCCACAACTATTGCCAGCTGGTCACTTAGTTCCAGCTAAGCTCCAGCAACCAGCTACTATCTGATAACATTAAGTGTATTTTCAGGCTATTAAATATATTTTGAAGTATGTTACATATTATGTACTTAGATTAAAATGTTTTACCTATATTTTATATATGTATTCCATGACAGGCCATTAGGTTGGGGACACAGTGGTCAGTTCAAGCACTTTATTAGTATGGTTCTCAGTAGTTTTTTTGTGCTCTGCTATACATAACTCCCAAAGGTTTCCCATAGGGATGAGTGTGTGTGTGTGCACGTGTGTGTTTTGTGTGTGTGTGTGTGAGCTTTTCAGTAGGTTGTATAGTCTGAATCCCCTGCCATGTGAGGATCTTTGTGTATAGATTGGGTTGCCCTTGTTAAATAGCCAGAGAATAGCCAGATAATCCTGTGCAAAATTGAGGATAAGCTTCAGTTGCCAAGCAAAGAACAGACACGATATAGTCTCAGACTCGTAAAACCATCAGAGAGAAGATTGTCTTAAGGTTTACCGAGGTCTGTTTGCAGATGAAGAAACTGAAGCCAAGGTCACATGGTTATTTAGAACTGAACTTAAAGGAGATGCCAAGTATTCTGATTTCTAATCTAGAGTAACTGTTGAAGCAAAAACAAAACTGTCCAGACAGCACAATGTTTAAAAACAAGCCAGTTAGTCAAAATAGTTGGAAAAAATACAACGAAATTTACTTCAGATGTAAGGTTAGACTTGTGACGGTAGTCAGAGTTTGAGGGAACACTTAGATAAATTGGTAAAGTCTCAGACATATTTACCTCAACAGTGGAAAATCAGTGTTTTAAGTGGAGTGTTTCAGCAACAATAACCTCCAGTTTCACTTTCAATGTTCTTAGTTTGTGACTTATTTTATATACAGCGTAGTGTTAAGGCCTAATTTTGTTTTAACTTTTTATTGTGGAAAAATTTTATACACACAGGAAGAAGACACATGAGTGAGATTTATTCCATAGACCATTACTCCAATTTCAACATTAATCAGCTCGTGATCAATTAATTTCATTAGCACCTCCACCCACTTCCTGACATCCAATATGAAATTACAGATATCCAACCAGTTTTGACTTACCAAACACAATTTCATGTGGTTCAGCTCATTATTTTGAAGCAAATTCCAAACGTCCTATCATTTCTTCCATAAATATTTTGGTATATATCTTTAAAGATAGGCACTCTTTAAAAATAGCACAATATCATTATTGCATCTAAAAAAATTAACAGTAATTCCTGAGTATCATCAAATATCCGGTCACTGGTCAGATCTCCAGTTGTCTCATAAACGTTACAATTTTTGTACAGTCTGTTTACTTGAATCAAGAGCTGTATAAGGTCAATATTGTGTTTTTTGGATATATCTCTTATTTTTTTTTATTAAGATTATGATAGTTAACAACCTGGTGAAATTACAGTTGTACATTATTATTAGTCATGTTGTAGGTACACCACTTCACCCTTAGTGCCCTCCCCCGACACCCCCTATCCCCTGGTAACCACCGATCAGTTCCCTTTGTCTATATGTTAACTACCACCTATGAGTGGAGTCGTACAGAGTTCATCTTTCTCTGTCTGGCTTATTTCACTCAACATAATACCCTCTCCCTTACTTTTTTTTAATCTATAGGTTTCCCCTACATCACTTTTTAAAAAGTTTATTTTTTCTTGCAATTGAAAAAACTTAGTTGTATGAAATTTCCCACATTTTGGATATTTTTAGGGCCTACATTTTGATTAGTATTGTTTAGGCAGAAAAGTACAGCTTCCCCACAAATATGTGATAACTTCCCCACAAACAATTTGCTATAATCTTAAGCATGAGTATATTATACAGCATGTGGCTCAGTGCCTGGTACAGAACAGATCATTAACATGTATTGATCACTGAATAGATGCATGAGTATTTGTTGGCTAAATAGATGCATGAATAAATATAATACATGGAGTGGGAGTGTGGGTTTTGACATTAGAATGCAGACTCAATTTCATAATCTCAGTTAATGGAGAGATAAGAATGGAGTAACAGATGTTCACTTTTCAACAGACTTTGCTCAGACATATCCACCATACTCCACTGAACGTCAGGTGCCAATGAGTATCAGACGCACCATTATTTTATGTATCTCTAAGCAAGAAAAACTGATTACAGTGAGACCATGACACATAAATAATTATAAGGCACATCTTATTTCAAGGATGTGAAAATTTGAGGAAATATTCATCTTAGAATTGTTGACACGTGGTGTTCTTGTAAGTAAAGGACATCTTCAGTCACATCAGCAATGGCAATCACATGGCCTCTCCAATGGGCAAGTTATAAAAAGCACAGCCCTGGCTGGGGCTGGCCATATTGGCCCAGGGAAGCAAGAATTTTCCTCTTAGGTGCAATTGTGCGGGTCAAGTTCCAGCCCAGCAAAGTGTATGTTGTGAAATCCTTCTGTTGAAGATATGGTCAATACCTGAAACTCATCCCTCAGAGGGACGTTATTCTTTCAGCAAAAGGCAAATGGTTCATCAGAAATAAGCACTGCCTAACTTCTGAATTTAAATCTACTTGCATTTGTCCTCCAGTGTAGCAGCAGAGCATAAATAAGGCCAGTGGGCTTCCCACATTCTGTAGCTCATGACTGCTCATGCCATAGTATTCACTTGATGTTTCTGTAGAATGTTTCAGAAGTTAACTCTCCAGATTGTCTGGAATTGTGTAGTTCAAGGACGTTGTCCTTACTGAGCTGTTAATACATGACTTTTTGTTGTATGTGAACCCCTCAGCTCTGAATTAATGTGTCCTGTGCGAATATGCAACTGGATGGACTGGGTAGTTTTCTTCCACTGAGAAGAGTTGTCTTGTGCGTAGTAACTAAGGACGAAAATTTGCTGTTGAAACAGGCTCTTCCCGATCTTCATTCACTTCAAGTTGAATTGAAGTTTTAACTAGTGAAGGATGTTTAGAACATGCAAGCCAACTGTCAGCATTTATCTTGGGTCATTCACGCAATTTATCTCTATGCTGTATGTTCCCTCAGCACATAGCTTCCCTGAGACTGGGAGATGCAAAGCCCACTGGACACACAGTAGGTATAGCAATGCTGCCTCAGTATTCCCTGATGCTCTCTTTGTGAGTATATGCTGCGTACTCAGTGAGCTCTGTTTTACTTGAACTAGGCCTCACCTGTGTGGAGGTAAACAGCTAAGGAAATCAGAAGAAGAAACACAAAGTGAGCAGGACTAGACTGCACGTCATCAGTGCATATGTGTGTTTCAAAAAATGTCACAAGGGCAAGATCAGCTGTCAGCCTGAAAGTTTTGTTAGTGGAGAGACCTAGAGATGCCCTTAAATTTGGCTTCGAGTAGACTGGCTTTGTGTAGATGAGTTATGAGATTTCTGGGGGTGGAGGCTTGGGTTGGGAATAGGAAATGGTATTTTGGCCATTATATTTGGTCTCAAGAGACATCTAGACAAGGGGCTATCTCACAGGGATGAGACAGAATGGCCTTGAGTAGAGGGATGGGTGGTCCTTTGACTCCGGCCTACACCCAAACCACTCCGGCAAGTGTAGCTTTGAGACAACTCAAGGTATATTATTTTAGAGGTCTAAAGCAGGCAGCCCCTGCCCTGAATGCTCTCTTGTGTCAGTTTGCTTTCACCTAAAATCCCTTAAACTGTAGACCAAACCTTGGATTCTGTATTGACAAAATCATTCTTGGGTATAAATATTTGGCAGAGTAAATGCACCATGGAGGATCCTGAACCTAGGCACAATCTTCTTTTGCTTTTCTTGGGGCAAGATGAGAGGATTAGAAACTAAGACTACTTGATTGACACGAGAGCCTATGTGTAAAGTAAGGAAGGGAACAGAAAGATGAGGCTGGTTCCGGATTAACCAGGCCAGGTTATGGTACAGCAGGGCGGGATGGGGCAGGAGTGGGCACCATGGAGGACCAGGAGATGCTGTGGGAAGAGGTCGTTCGTGACCTGCACGATCTCTATGCACAGGTTCCATAGAGAACTGTTCGCCTCTTCTCTTAATTTGGGTTCCTTGCTTTTAAAAAAAGATTTTAGTTTAGGTTTAGATATTCCTATTCTAATCATTTTTTCAAAAATTTCAAGTGAGTATGGTGAAGATCCCAGTTGTTCTGCACCCTAGATGGAAACCTTTCAGGGAGACGCTAGCTGTATTTCGCCATACAGTTTACCATATTGTCCTTCTAGAGTGATGGTACCAATGAGATGGTTTGCACTGAAGACTTGGAAATCAACAGGTTATTTCCGAAGTGAGGATGGGAGGAGTAAAACAGGGTTCAAACCAATCTGATGCAGCCTCCATTGGTAGAATACTGTTCCATTATAGAAGGGGTGCAGGATACAAGGTAGGGATGGGGGCAGTAAAATGGTGTTGAAAATAGTTGTGTCTCTATCCCCATTGGAATTAGCATAGGATACAGGGTTTGTTAAGACAGTAAGCGCTGGAATTGCACCCTGCTGCATGACCAGAGTCTGAGATAAGTTCTTGTATCTCCTTTGACTAAAAGTAGTGTGATCTCAGAAAATTAATTTAGTCTGAGTCATGGTTTTCGCAAGGGAAAAGTGATAAAAGTATCACTTGCCACTAATTAAACTGTAGATCATGTGAAACAGTTTGATGTCTTCAATTGAGAAATCAGAATAATTTAGGTTTTTAAATATATGCAAGTCTGACTACCTCATTACTTTCATAAGAAACCTAGTAGCAGAATGAGAGAAAAGTAACTTAAGATAAGAAAAGAAACCCATACAATCAAATGTTCTGTAGTTAGTTCCTTTTGAGGGAATTGAGGAAAAGGCAGTGGAATGATGAAATGTGGGGCATGACTGGGGAGAGGGGGATGGGAAGGGGGCCACTGGGGAAGCCAGCAAGAAAGAAGGTGCCATCAGAAAGATCAAGGCTTGCAGCAACGTCAGACAGTTCGTGCTGTCAAGAGGGAGAAGAGTGGCCTTCCTGTTGGATGCCAGAGGATGGGACTGAGGGAAAGGGACATGAGGAACGGTCATTGGATTTGGGAGAGCAGAGTTTTGTTGGCGACGTTAGATAATAGTGAGCATTTGTTTAGTAATAAGTGCCAGGTGCATATTTATCTTGTTTCATCTTCACGTCATCCCTGTGACTTGGGTCCCATTACTGTCGTCAGTTTACAGCCATCTGCAGTGCCCTAAGAGAGGCTTAAAGAGGTTAAATAAAGTCATGCAACTAGGGACAGGCTTGCGGCCCAGGGCTGTGTGACTGCAAAGCCGGGCCTGTCTTACCATCCCTGGCAGCCAGGAGCTTGATTCTGCAAGTGGAGTGGCAGCGAGACCAGACTCTAACAAGGGCGTGGTGAGGAGGCCAAGGTGGGGAAGGCAGATGCTAGTTCAGAAGTTTGGCTCTAAAGGAGGAGAAAAGATGGTGACTCAAGTCACAGGCAAGTGAGGTTTTTTTCCAGAAACAACAGATTTCTTTGGAACTTGTAAAGAGGGGAAAATGCAAGATGCTGCAAGAGAAAGGGGTAAAACTTCTGCCCAGTGGGGCTGTCCCAGGCCCTTCCTGTGTTCGCCCTTTGGTGCATCTTGTCAACGCTGCAGTATGGGAGTTTTTAGAACTAAGCTGTACGGTGAGGTGATGTCTTTGAAGTCATGGTTATCAAAGAGGGAGTTTGCCAGGTGGGATCATGAAGAAGGAGGTAATCGCCCCCTCCTTCCCTAAGATTTTTAAGAGGTTCATCATTGATTTCACAGAGCACATGAAATAAATTGGTAAGAACACCCTGCATGCCTCAGAGGCGTCCACCACTCTGGATTTTTCAAAGCGCAGTCACATCTGCCTCATGTGGTCTTCTGTTCCCGTCTTGTGTTCTTTCCACTCCTCTTCCCTCCTGTCCATTTTGGTTTTCCCAGGAGGTGTCCTGTGTGGCTTTTTTGTCCGACTCAATTGCTGTCATAGATGCAAATGCAATCTTACCTTGGGGAGATGCTGTCTCATCAAAATGCTCAAAGTCAATATGTACCTCCGGACTGGCTCTCCCAGAGGTTGGCACTCTCAGAGATTGGAGAGTTCTAGTGCACTTGAATAAAGCAGAATCGAGAGCTGTACTAAGGAAAAGGAACTTGTTCTCATTGTTTCATTAGTCCAAACGTGTAGCCTCTCAGACTGCATGGGACATTCAGGCACTCGAAAGGCATTTATGTGAAGCCACGGGTGTGAGGTTGCTTGACTGGACTCCATCAGGAGAGAGAGGCTTCAGCTGTGAGTCTGGCCCATGTTATCGGCCAGGCACCCAGAGCAGGATGCTCAAGTGGCCAGAGTCCTGGGCAAACCATATCTGAGAAGAATTCATCCACAACATCCTCTGGGTTCCTGCTCTTGGGCCAATGGTTAAGGCAGAGCTTCTCCTTGGAAATAATTGTAAGAGGGGTGCCATGATTCCTCCCGTAGAGGGAACGCCAGGAGTTGACTCTTGTGAGCACTCCCTCCCTCAGAGAAGGAAGACTTGGAATCTAGGCAGCTCCGTACCTTGATAGACAGTTATGCAGCTCTCCTGAACCCCAAAGCTATTGTCCGCAGGTGTAAGCATTTCAGAAAGGCAAGCCAGATGTGCTGGTACCGTTTTCTTGAAGGAAAATGAAAGAAAGCAGATACCTAGCAGTATACTCTCTGCAGAAATTGCTTTTTTTAGCTCCTGGCTGTTTTAAAGAAGTAGGAAATGCATTTGGGAGATGAACATGACCCTAGCATTAAAGAAAGTAGACAGAGGGTAGAATTTAAGCTAAGAAAAGGGAGGGAAAAGGAAGTGTTCTCAATTCTTTTTTCTTTTCTTCTTCCTAGCAAGAACCAGTTGAGTCATCTTTGGGGCTTAGTAATGGAGTAAGTGATCTTTCTCCTGAGTATGCGGTCCTGACTTCAGCTATAAAAAATGAAGTGGATAGTACGGTGAACATCATAGGTAAACTGTTTTGACGTCTCATTTCTTATACACATGAGGAGCCCCCTGCGGTCGAAAATCTGTAAAACATGGTCTGAAATAACATAGTCAGTGGGAGGAGGTCTTGGAACCATCTCAAAATGCAAGTTCCAGCTCCCAGATCTTAGGGCTGAAAAATAAAGACCTTTGAAGATCAGATAAAGGAACTTTAGATGGGTCAGCCTCAAGAAACGTGACTTCTCAGGGGAGTCCAAATAGATGAAATATTTTTTTCCCCCCAGTGACTAATGATTAGTGGTTCTCAATCTTTCAATAATTGGTCGCATGGACAAAAGTGTTATTTCTTTCACTTGGGAACAAGGAAAGGGAAGATATCTTCATGAGTCCTCTCAGTGCCTGCTCCATGGCAGACCTGCCACACAGGTGGCCCACATCTTACAGATGAAGAAACTGAGGCACAGAGCCATGTTGTTAAAAGGCATACTTTGATTCCACAAAGATTTGTGTGCACCTTCTGCATCCTAGACCCAGTACCATGAGCAGGAAATAGATTGGGGAAGAAGGCAGGCCATGGAAGGAGATGGTAAACAAGTAAAGCCACAGATAATGACAGCATTACCGTTGGGGACAAATGCTGCAAAAGAAAAGAACCAAGAGTTGAGAGAGAATAATCAGGGTCTGGATTTAGATTGGAGGCCTCTTGGAGGAGCGACGTTTCTCCTGAAGCCAGTGGGTGAGGCGGGGCAGCGTGGGGCAGGCAGCAGAACATGGACCCCGACGTAGGAAGACCCTTGGAGGACTAGAACGAAGGCCAGTGTGGCTGAGCATAGTGAGCATGGGGACAGCCGCATGAGGGTCCCCTCAGAGAACGAGGCAGGGCGGGGTCGTGGGGGCCTTTTCAGGCCGTGGGAAGGAGGTTGGGTTTCATTCCCAAACTGCTAGAGGGTGTGTTTCAAAGGAAATTTTTTTAATTGAAGTATAACAGACAGTAAAGTGCACAGGTGTTTTACACACACACACGCACACATAATGTAAACACCTCTTAGAGACTTTTAGGCAGGAGGGTGACGCGTGTGAATGACATCTCAATAAAGGCCCGTTGGGATGCTGTGGTGACTGGGTGGTGGGGGCTCTGTGCAAGAGGGCAGGCCGAGCCCCAGAATCCAGTACTGGGCCTTCTTTGCCCTCAGGTCCCTTTTGGTCCATTAAACTTTGCTCCATTTTGTCAACAGTCAGGGCTTCTGAGGCTGGTAAGAACCAGAGAGATCAACCAGAGCGACAAGAGCAGGCCTCATGTCCTGGTCCCTTCATTTCTGGCTTCTCAGTTGAGTATGGACAGGAGGAGGCAGCCACTGCAGACATCAGTCACCCCTCCTTCCCCTTGGTTTTGGAATTTGGGAAGTAGAATCCTGTAGCAGGGACTCCCGGGAACGTTGAGGTCTTCGGCAGGGTGCGGTGTGGAGGGGGAATGAAGCAGATGTTGAGTGACAGCTATATCTCAGGACAGGTGCATCCTTGCCTTCCTCCCAGTGCTCAGGTCTAGACCAGCACTTTAGGATAGAGGCGTTGGGTTGGTCCCACAGTTGTTTCTGAGCTGAGAGAGGTCTTCGAGATGGAGCATTCTTCTCACTTCCCCTCTGGGGCCAGGGGTCTTGCCTGACCAGAAGCCCAGCTCTCCTCGCTCCTGGGCCCTTTTTTCCAAGGCCCCGTGCTGCTTCCCCACCCTCCTGGGTCCATCTTCCCTTCCTCTGCAGGCAGTCCCTGGAAAGCCCGTGCCCATCAAGCCTTTTAGAAAACCGAAGATGTTCGCCCAATCTCCAGGCACTTTTTCTTAAGATTCAGCTTTATTTTGAGTGTGCTGGTTGGTTTTTGGAGCTCCCCTACATTTATGAGGTGAATTCAGCCCCAGATAAAATGCCAAACAAAAGCCAGAATTGTACTGGAATTTTCTTTACTTTTTAAAAACATTTCGATTGAGTCTTCAGTATGTGAATTCTCCATTGGGTGATTGTCCTTTGTCCTTCTGTATGGTTGCTGCTATAATAAAATAAGAAGGGCTGGCAGTAAAATGAGTTTGAAAAACTCTTTCTAATTTGTTGGTGGCCCTTATGAAGGTATGTCAATTATATATGAAGTGGATCCATACAAGTATTTTAAAGAAATGGGTAGTTTGTGGTCTTTGCTAACAATGGCACCACCTCAGATTTTAAACTCTTCTCAGAGCTTTAGTCCACACTCTCCCATGTGACCATTAATTAGCTATTAATTAGTCTTTGTGATTTGTGGGTAGAGATGAGAAACAGGGATTCTGATTCCAAGGCCACTGTGGAATTTGAGAGATGCTCTTTCTGTCTCTCTTTACCTTTTAAAAGTGCTTTATTTAAAAATGACCTCGTTTCTTGCTCTTGGTTCATTTGGTCCTAAACCCAGAGTTCATTCCGGTTTTCTATGTAGGCACCCAGATGAAAGCTTCAGGGTGTTCTCAATCTACTTTCATAAGCATTGTGTTATAAGATTAAAGTTGGGAGCTGGAATGAGTACTTAATAGGATAGTATTTTTTCATCTCATCTGCTGGCTTTCTAGGGAAATAGACTGAAAATCAATAACTTAATCCAGTGGAGGCCAGCCACGCAGGACGTTATTATTCTGGCTGTTTTCTAAGCGAATCCAGTAAGGGTGTAAAACGTGAAATGTACTGTTGCCCTGACAAATGAACTCTTGCTGATTGCTGCTGTTTTACTTTTATCTTTTGCCACAAATCATAGCAGGAAAGCACGCGCACACACATGCGCGCACTCACAGTTGGCAGCGGGCTGCGTCCTCATCTTACCTTCTTGTCCATAACAGCTGACTGTCCTTCCAGATGTAGCTAGCTGTGCACACTGAAGAGGAGTGTGGCGTCCCATTACTTAAGACGTATCGTTTATGGTCCGTCTCTCCTGTGTGTTAAATGCACAGGTTAGCACCCCCAAGGAGTGATCCCTGCTTTCCCTTTAAGGGGAGGGAGAAAAACCTCCTTATTTTTATTTTTGCTTTTCTTTAGCATTGCATTGTTTTGTGTGTGTGGCGACTTCTGTTTTTAGGAAGCGGAAGAAGCCAGCAACATGTTGGATTGTTCTGACAATACCCCGCTGGCCTCTTGCCCAGGCTAGCAATGCTTCGGCTGAGCTGCATTGCAATCATCTCCAGGCCAGTGTAAAATGTTTGCAGGTGCGAACATTCTGTCTGACTAGCCTAGGCAGGGCTCTATAACCCCATTGTGTTTCTTGATAAAAGGTAACCCCACCCTTCCATAAAGCAAGGATTGCTATGAAACAAGGGAGGCTGTTCATGACTCTGAAGACAGTCAAGCAATCCTTAGTGAGAAGACATATAGCAACTAGGAAATAATGTGATTTTGCCTTGATTTCAGCTGCCCAAAGTGAACTTTATAGGATGTACTTTTTAATTAATCGCTTCCAAGTTTGACTGACTTTATCTAAAGTAAACCTTGAGTAGCTTTTTTAGCCAAGCTTGGAAACTTGAGTATCAACAGGGAGGGCTCAAAGAACAGAACAGATTCGCAACTTAGAGACCAACTTTAGGGTTCCCACGAGGGCCTCATGGTTCTAACTCAAGATCGGCAGCCTCTGGCACCAGAATTCATAGTGATTTGGGGTTGGCCAAGGGCGACGCTAGGCTATAGAACTATGTTTTCATCTTTTTCCACCCCATTGTTCCTTGTTCTTTTTGCCATTTTTCCTGATACTTAAGATATGAAAAATCCCACCTATAGGATAAGAAGCAGCTTTGGGATGCGTCTTTAAATGGAAGGCTCCCCTCTTAAGAAGGAGCCAGTGAGGGTCTTCCATGCTCGTTCTCGGTGGGCTATCTGTTGTGCCCCTTCTCCTGGGAGGGCTGAGCTGTTCACCCCTCAGGAGCAGGGGCCAGAGACAAGGCATCCAATTTTATCAGGACCCCTAGGAAACTCTTAGCAATGTGAAACTCCATGTGAGATGTGAACCAAGGTGTCACACTATACCCACACACAGAATCGAGAATACGTCTTATTTTTCTTCGGTGAAGTGGGCCTTGGAAAGCCAGGCACAGAGGTGAGGCTGCGTGGGATGTGCTGCCAGTCACTGTGTGCCACCGGGAGCCCTCGGCAGTGGAGTTTGGCTGTTGTTTTCTCAACCTTAAGAAGTTTTTATTCACTCTAGAAACCTGCCATCTTTTTATGAGGCTTATTTACTTTGCTCCTTCCCCCCCTCTCTTGTCTCCTCCACCTCATTTATAATTAACCATCAAATCTTCCTGTCTTCCCTCATCGTATTTCTTAAATCCGTGCCCTCTTTCTGTTTCCGATACTCGCAGTCACCTTTGCTCTTGCCTGAGCTCTGATTCCATTCTACCCCTTCTCCATTCATTCTCCACTCACAATGATTTTTTTAAAAATGTACAGTCGTGTCACCATTGCCCCAGCGCAAAGACCCGAATCTCCTTCGTGTCCCCGGGGTCCTGGTGACCTGGCCCCTGTGCGCCTCTTTTACTTGTTTTTGAACTTGAATTATGCTGAACAACTTGACTTCCGTGTGCCTATTCAGAGAGAAAGCAAGGTTGTTTGTGGGTTTTGTCTTGGGAGCAGCCACTAAGACTGTGTTGACACAGCACAGGAAGAAAGGGACGTTTGGTGGTTCCACTGGTCAGTGTGAGCTGCCAACCCAAGGAGTCTTACTCAGAATTCTGCCTCCCGACTGTTGACCCTTGAGACATATTGATGACCTCTACTGAGTTTTTATTGGGACACATTATTTGCTGCCCTTTCTAGTAGCATGTGATGCTGTCTTCTCGTGGAGTGAAGAGAATATACTTTGCCAATCACAATCTTACTTCACCTTGCACCTGTGTCAACCTGTTGCAGTCAGAGCCATCAACCTGGCCCGTGCAAGGACAGAACTCTGTTCTCTGAAATCACTAATCCCATAGAGACTGTCTCTTCCACCATAGCTCTTGAGCACCTAAATAAACCATAACCATATTT